AATTTTCAGCTAGCTATGATTTTTCCAAGTCATGTATATATCCTCTTAATTTCTAACCACCCTAACTCTGTCGGTTTTAATAATAGCAAAAAATGTTAAGGTAGTTCACTCGTAAAACGGCTTTTTTTAAGAATTCAATAAAATTGAAATATAAGGTTAATGAAAGTGTCTTTTATGTAACTAAAAAAAATTAAATTTTTTGACCGTCTGTGAAACGAGATATTAACAATCAAAATGTGCATGTGCATAATTAACACTCTTGAAGCCTCTCATGTACACAAGTAATGCATTTATTTTCAAGATATCTCGAAAACGGTTCTTACTATATTTTTTAAAAACTAATGTAAATCAAGAAGTTATAAAATTTTCTAAAGAAACGCTGAATTTTTTGACCGTCTTAGTAAAAAGATTTTTAAAATAAAAATATTTTTAAAGCAATCGACGCGTAGTTGCGTAAAATTATAACTTGGCAAAATAATACTCGATCAGCTAAGAGGTTGTTATAACCTCGCGACGTTTTCTTGAAAAATTAATTCGTCCACTGTCTTTGAGAACTAGAATCAGCGGTTCTGTTTGAACCAAAACAAACCCTTAAAAATAATGTGAGGAAGTCACAAATTTCTATAGCAAACCATTCATATATTTATTAGGTTGCCGGATGGATTTTATTAAAATTCTAACATATCCATATCACAGTTTATTGCTAAAGAATCAGTTAGCTCACTCGGACCAGTTGGATGTTCCAAAATAACATCCATTCCAGGGATACAAATTTTAGGATGCGCAGAAGACTGCTGTTTGAATAAAGGCGGTTGTCATATATTTCATTGTGTATGCGTCAGGGATACAAATCTGAGTTGCGCAGTGTATAAATTGGAACATTGAGATTAAAAGTGCCGACGTAGAGTGAGCGAACTGATTCTTTAGCAATAAACTGTGTCCATATATTTAAGCTTACATGTGTTTTGTACAGTCTCTTACAAAAATAAAATTGATTAGCATTGAGAATCTCGAACTATTGGTATTCACCATTAAGCGATATTTTTATGTTCGACTGTCGCGAGTGAACCAGCTTAAATATCATTTTTATGTAAAACTTTACGCTTTACAATTTTTATTCAGAACTTTTTTTATAGCACCTACCGTTTTTAAATAACCTTAAAAAAACACTTTATTTTCTTATTTTTTGACATTTGCCGGTGCCTGAGAAACAAAATTTTTACATATCGTTTTCAAATACTCTAAAGTGACTTATATAAAAAATTCCTGTATTTCTTCCAAAATTTTGATTTAAAGGTCTATTTGATTGGACTAAAACGACTCTTTATCCTTATAAAAATATATGTATACAGGATGAGCCAAAAAGTTTGTTCAGCGAGTGTTGTTATTTTACAATATACACTGTATATCGTAATGGGTACCAAACAAATACATCACATCAACAAAAAGATATACTTCGGGTATCATAGGAAGAGTAAACAGTTATATAAAGTTGAAATATATAAAAATTGTAATTTTTTACAAAACTCCCTGTTGAACGATAATTAATCTGTCAAATCAAGTATGATTTTGATAAATAAATAAATAAATAAATAAATCCTTTATTCGTCTATCAAATGTACAGATACATATGTTTTAATACACAACAAAATGTACATTTATGAGACTTATCAAAAAAAAAAAAGAAATAAAACAATACAATATATAGCACTTCCATTTACAACATATATCTGAAATTACTATAATAAGAATAAACAATATTTATATATAAATATAAAATTAAATTAAAATGATTAAGAAATCTGTAGGAATTCTTCTTCAGAATAAAACGCATTTTCAGCTAAATATTTAAAAAGTTTGGTTTTAAAAACATAGTTATTACCCAAAAGCCTAGTTATATGATTAAAATAGATGATGCCCTGATAACCCGCAGAACCCTACCCAATGGTCAGCTGGGAATATGGCAGTCTTAAGTCATTGCCTCTCCGTGTGTTGTGTTCGTGAATCATGTTATTTCGAATATATTGAGATTCATTTTTCTTAATGTTTAATGTGGTCAAATATATATAGAGACATGGCAATGTTAATATTTCCAAAGATTTAAACAAATTCTTGCAAGATGCCCTATAGTGGGAACCAGTTATACATCTCACTATTTTCTTCTGAGTTATAAATACTTTCACAGTATGTGAAGCGTTTCCCCAAAAAGTTAGTCCATAGGTTAATAATGACTGTAGCAGCCCAAAATAGGCTAACTTTAATACATTCAGAGAAGTTGTATTGTGAAGTTGTCTAAAGATAAAACAAAAACTGCTTATCCTTGAGACCACCTTGTCAATATGTCCTTCCCATGTAAGCTTCTGGTCTAGGGTCACCCCTAGATATTTAAAGTTGGTCACCTGTTCTATCGTTCTATGATCAAGCCTAATTAATGGGCAGAAGTCATAACTGATGTTTTTTTGTTGAAAGATCATAAATACTGTTTTTGTTATGTTAATTAGCAGCCCATTATCTGAGCACCAGTCCGAAAATTCTTCTACAGTGGCGTTTGCATACTCAGCCGATAAAGCAAGTTTATGCTCAGCCACTATGTGACTCGTATCATCTGCATAGATTACTGTTTTTTTTTTTGGCTTTTTTACATGATTGTATGAGGCCACTAACAAAAATAATAAATAATAGCGGGGTTAGTGTCGAGCCCTGTGGTACTCCCATGTTAATATCTTTGGGCTGTGATTTTATCGAATCTATACTGACTATTTGACGTCTGTTGCTTAAATAACTAGAAATCCAGTCTCTAGCCACTCCTCTGACTCCCATTCTAAAGAGCTTCTCAATGAGTAGGTCATGATTGACTGTATCAAATGCCCTAGTTAGGTCATAAAATATGGCAACTGGGCACTGCTTCCCATTCAGATTGTCAATTATGGAGTTACAAAGTTCATATATTGCTGTTGATGTTGATTTTTTCTGTCTAAAATTGTGTTGGCAACTGGTAATTAACTTGTGCTGTGAGGTAAAATTATTAAGCCTTACATAATAGGCATAATCGATAACTTTTGCAAACTGGGACTGCAAACATACAAACTTACCTCCTGCTTTGGCCCTTTATTTTTGAAAATAGGCACCGACTTAGACGTCTTTAGCTTTTCAGGATATTTCCCTTTGATAAAGGAATGATCAATTATATATGACAGTGGTGCACAAATTATGTCACTTGCTGCTTTTAACGTTCTTCCATCAATTTCATCAATACCTGGAGTATATTTCTTTGTTACTTTGTTACTAATGGTTTGTATTTCTGTTTGAGTTGTAGGATATAGAAATATTTTCAATAGGTGCTAGCTTCAGGTCCCTATTTGGTGTGACTTTTTTTATATCTATAAAAAAATCATTAAAGTAATCGGCCACTACTTGTTTATCTGTTACAGTATATATTAAAATAACAATCTTAACAAGTTTATTTTCGCAAGTTAATCTATGCTCCTATGACTAGTTTTTTTGTAAGGGCCCAATTTTTTTATTACTTCTTTCAGAATCCTACTTACAGATTTCTCGCTCATATTATTGTCTAACACAAGCTTTGGAACAGAAGTTTTTGGTTCTTTCTGTACACTTAGAAACACATTAAGTGCATGTTCTTCATCGGTGGTTGTCCTTTTCCGTCCATATCTGGAATTGTTTTTCATACTTCCTGTTTCATTGAACTTGCTCAAATTTCTGGATACTGTAGATTTAGAAATCGAGGAAATCCTTTCAGAAAATATTTCATTGAACAAATCATGCTTCTTGCAGAGATCTCTTTCTGTCTCCAAACAAAATAATCATCAATAGTGTAATTCTTTCACGTTGACTCAGTTCAGCTATTGTTTAAATTAGTCAAAATTTTCAGTATTGTCAAATGTTGAGGGTTATTTATTGTCGCGTATTGAGTAGTTTAGGTAAAATGAATAGACTTGCAATTAAACTCAACTTGTTTAATTGTCTTCATAAACCAGAATGAATTAAAATCTACAGATTAATAAAAGGTGACAATATTGTAAAAACATTGGTAGGTATTTCTGTCAGATGTACAAGAATCGTATTAATAAAACTGAGTGATTAATATCGAAATGTCAATATGACATGTATAATGTCGAAAAGTAAGTCCATGGCAAAATCATTCAAATTTGTATATAATGATAGCACAGATAACTGTGGATAATTATTTATTATTTATTCGAAACAACGTTCACTTTTTTGTTTTATTATTTTCTTATAATAAAGTAAGTCAGAGACCACCCGAACTTCATATTGATGGATTCAGAAAGAAAAGATCTGTCTCAAAAAAAAATATAAATACAGGGTGATTCATTTAAAATTTCATTTGATGACGTCATATCTTGATAAATATGACATGACTAAAATCCGTAAGCGTCATTAAATAGTGCATAAAATATATGAAAAAATGTATTTGTCAATTTTCAGTACAATCCATAATTTAGCCACAAATCGGGTGTTCCGCCAATTTTGCCCAACCCTGTATATAAATGATACGTTTATTATCATTATTTAGGCATAAATCAATTTTTTAAACATCCAATTTTTTACTTTAATTTAAAAAAATACTCGCCTTGTATAGTTGTTTCTATTTTAGTAGTCACAAATATCCTAGAGAGCCAAACCATAACATTTAATATTAATGAATATCAACAAAATTACAATGTTTACGACTTAAAGTATTTTTGAAAATTATGAGAATTTACAAGTTCAAAAATTAGTCATAAGAGAACTTTGTGCCCATGGACACTTTTAATTGGGAGGTCAACAACTGCAACATGTATAAAATTCAGCAGATTCGACAAAAAGCCATTTGTTAGAGAAAACTGCGGGGTCCTTTCCTTATCCAACGAGAATTCTCGATTGTCAAATATCTATAATTATGTCAATTTACTTTTCCGTTAAGTCAAAAAATTATTTTACTTTTTCTTTTTGTTTTGATATAGTTGTCTTCGTTCCAGTTCCTTCTCATGAGCCACATTCTCCTGTATTCATTGACTCCGATGATGAAGATGATGATGATAATAGTAGTATGACTGATGATAATGAAGAAGACTACTGGAATGATGATTGGTACGTTCTTATGATGTTACTTGGTGGTATTATTTAAATTTTGGCTCATTTTAACATAACATAAGCTCTATATAATATATTTTAAGGTCATCATGTTAAGACATTTTTTATTTTGTATTGGAGTTGTTATTTTTATTGTTAGAATCTTAATTGATAATGATCTCGTAAATTGTAAAGTGAATTTTCACTCGTTGCAAATTATTTGAGTTTTCATAATAAATACTGTATGCTCTAGGTATTATTATTTATTAATGCGTTGATGGGCTTTCTAAAAAAAACGCGAAGATTCATTATTCTGGAGAAATCTACAGTTTCTTGTTGTGGGTGCCTCTTTTCTATTTGGCGAGTAGTCTTTAATTTTCCGTTTTTTCCTGTGGTTCTCTAGTAACTTTTCCACGACTCTTTGGTCCAGTTTTTAGAAGTTTCCAACTCTAGAATTCTTGAATAGGTGTTCAAAACGACCCTTTGTTTAACGCCCGCAATCCTAGGTATTTTTATTTCTGGTACTCCTTTTTATACCAGAACAATAATTCTTCCATTCTGTACTTCTGACCACCCCCGTCAGGGCATGTTTTCAACAATGTTAACACAGAAGCATATATTACTTTGATTTTATGTCTTAACAACAAAATTATATTGAATATAACCAGCAAATATTTTAACAGGTGATAGCAGAGGTATAGAAAAACAAAAATAAATTGGGCCAAGAATTAGATATGTTACCAGCTTGGTTAGAAACTTCGAAAACATGTTGTTATTGTTCCTTCAAATAACCCATATACAATAATTATTCATCCTGTTCTTCTAAAATATATTCACCACATATTACAAATTTTAAAATATTGTATCATGGGAGTTTTTTCGTCACACCTTTTCAGAATTGGTATTACTTAAGTCATCCTCCAGATTTCCTTAAAAATAATTTTTTCCTAAATATCGTTTTTCCATCTAGTATTTCTATTTGATTAAGTTAATTTGACGAGAATAATTGAAGAAAAGAAAATATAAATGATTTTGTAGTCTACATAATGATAGTTATTTAATAGATTTACTTGATGTATGCTGGAGCAATATCAGAAAACAACCTATTTGTTCTGCACGATTCATTTTGTTTTTTTAAATTTATATGTATATTTTTGTGATAAGTATATCAAATTGAAAATAAAAAGAATAAATGAGTCAAATTGTTTTGAGTACAAATGGAGTATTTTTTACAGGGAGGACCAATTGGATATTGACGATTATGACGATTATTTATCCTTTGGTTATTGGCATTAATTATGTTTGCAGCTAATAATGATAAAAGTGAGTTACCCAAATTATATATTTTAGTAAATTTTAGGATGTATTGCCTCAGCATACCCTAAGTAAATCTAATTGAGGAGCGTTCATTCAAAACCAGACATGTCCACTTTTTATACAAAATGCGTATGTTACAAATTCTGGACTATTTTCCTGGATTCTATCGATTCCCGAAATGAAAATTGTTCAAAAGCAGACCTAACCCATTTAAATATGCATGTTAACATTGATCATTTAGTTTAGATTCATAAAATCGATGAAAACAAGCCATATCCTTCAGACGGATTCGATGTTTTTGATGAATCTAGGTCTAGTAAATCCCTACTGCTTATGTTGACTGAAACTACTTGAATTTATTTAATTAGGCAAGTAACGCTGGAAGTGTTACAGAAAGTTATTAATCGGGACGATTCTACAGTGACAGTTAAATGCAAAGGAAGTTCTTTCTTTAATTATGATGAATCTATGGTTAAAAGAAGTTGTTCTGAGGAAACCTACAGTTTAAATCTTATGCCCTTTGAAAATGTAATTTCCGCCGAAAAAAAAAAATATGTAAAAGCGCTTTTAGGAAAACAGCTTAACATCTAGGATCTTTAGTGGCAATAAATTCAAGAGCTGAATTTCTACAAAGAAATTTTGTTTGATAAGACTTCCCAAACCAGAGAGGCATATAAACATGAAAATCCATACAACTGCATGAAGAAGATCATGCTTTACATATCTAATTATTTATGTTTTATTTATATGTTTGTTTCAATAAGTCTAAGTTTGCTTTTTTTTTTTTTCATTTATAACAATATTGTTTAAAAGTTCCTAAGTTTTTGTGCAAAGGCTAGCAAAATATTTTATTAGCTTTATTTATTTGTGTGTGTATTGTTTTTTTATACTCTACTACACTAAAAAGAATGCCTTTTTCAAACTACACCAGAAAAACGCATCTTAGTTTCAGAAAAAATCAGACATGTCCAGTTATTCATTTTTTTAGATATTCACTCCATAAAGTATTTATTTTTTTCAATATTAATGAGCGCAATATTACTATCATCTTATCCTTTATAACATTTCATAATATGAATAATTTTAAGGCCTACAAATAAAAACGTTTTTCTAGAAACTACTTCATGTGGACATGTATGATTTTGAATAAACGCTCCACATTTATATTATTATATATTTCAATACAGAATCCTCAGATTTTATGAATTTTTCACTAGATCTTTCACTGCACTAGGTACATCTTCTGCTGAAGTTTATGGTTGCATATCGTGATACATATCTGCAGTTGCATGATTCCAAAGGTTTTGGGAATTTGTGCAAAATATACGTTGTCAAATCGACAATCCGGTAATTGATGCAGATCTATATTCTTCATGTAGTTTCTAGGAAGAAAATGACTTGTTATCAGAGCTGTTAAAATGCTTATATCGTTTCTGCTCGATTTTAGAATCTGGGGCCCTATTCTCGAATGTCAATTTCTAAATGTCACATGCGTCATTGATGTTATGTCGAACAAGAACGCAAAAACGTATTCTCAAATGGCGAATTCGACATTTGCTGTTAGACATAAAGTCGAGTGGTATTCAACCAGTCGACATTTGAATGTCGCATAACTTTTTAGGGATAATGTTACAATATGAGTGTTGTGACAGTGATAATTTATGTTTATTTTTATGAGAAATGAAAATAATCATTGTATAAATTGTTTAAAAAAAAAATTGATTTGATTAATTACAATTTCACCTAATTTATCAATCATTAGTCCTGTCTGTCCAAGAGATTTAATCCCTGTCATTAAGAAATTTATATAGTGTTTAGATTATATTATAATAATATATTCTTCTTTCTTTTTAATCTCTTACCAAATTGCACTTCCAATTTTCTATTTAATCCCTCATGAAATTTCAGTTAAAAAGATTATATTACATTTTCTCTACTTTCTAATTAGTATTTATCAAAAAGATATATATTCGCGATATATTTTCAGTATTTTTTTTTTAATTTGGTGTCTTCGGCATCGACTATTAAGGCCATTAGCCTCGTGTTCTGTGTAGGATTTGTTACTGTTTCCTAGCGCTACTTTAGGAACAGCACTGTTAATTAGAACCCAACAGTGAATGGTCGAGTGGGGAATCCTACCAAGGCATTTTCTTTTACTAAGATATCCTTCAAGTAATTGTCTGCTGTAATATACTCGTATTGTATGTTTCTATCCAATGTTGTCAGGTGTTACCATTCGCGAAATATGTCACCGATTTTAAAATATCTATTTTTCTTTGAGAATACGGAAAGTGTCAGTCGATCACCATTTTGATAGTCATTAGTAGTAGACATTATGACGAATGCGACATTTTTAATAGACATTCGAGAATAGGGCTCCTGAAGTTTTCATTGACGATTTAGATATAAAACCCTTCCATTGTGGCTGCCAGGGATATTTCCTTAATACCTGGAGTGTTTTATCCTCTGTCCAGTTAGAAATTCCATTAGCTGTTCTTATTTTAATGCCTTCCAATCCACTATGACCTGGCATCCAGATCAAAGTACCGAATCACTTTAAGGCTGTTATCCAATTCCATTCTAGCATTGAATCAACTCGCTTGGGGCTCAGTACTTTACAAGTCTGACTATCAGCCAAACTAAGAGTCTAGAGTCGAGCCTTGTTTGATCATGTTTCCAAGATGGTAGCTTAAGGTGAGTTGAGTCCCACATATATCACATTATACGCCAAGAGAATAGTTTCTCCATCGTTAAGGACTATCTGAGATTTTCAGTAAATGGAACGGTAAGAATTTTACAGGGTTTTACAAACATCTACCTGTCACTTATTGTCATTTTTCCTGTACTTGTTAGTAGAGAAAGGATTCCACTTTGTGGCTAGACTATTACAATTTTTAAATGATGGTGACATCGAAGGATTATGGTCGGCCAGCAACAATGTATTTCTAGAATTACCCATTATCCTCCTATGCAGCGACGTAACAATGATTCGCGATAAAATACTAATATTGAATAAGCTTTAATTGACACGATTTTATTGATTTACGTTAAATATTGTTTAATTTACTTTGGGGTCTATTCTGTAACAATTCCTTTATATTTAACGGCCTTTAAAAATATTGGCGACCTTTAAAAATATGTTTGTATTCGTTAATTTACTTCTGTCCTTATTTAAACAGATTTCTTTTAGATAGTCCTCTAATGTATTTTAAAGATCCGTTTAAATAGTGACCGAATTAAAGAAGAAAATATTTTTAAAGGCCGTTAAATATAAAGGAATTTTTACAGAATAGACCCCTTTGTATGAAATGTCTATCACTACCTTTTCGATTACATTGTCCACCATCCCGTGCAATCTCCACATTTTGTTTTCTTCCTTGATGACGTGGGTTACGGAATTTGTCTAATCTTTTTTCAGTATTCGTGCACTTGACCCCAAATAAGTTTTATCGGATTCAATTCACAATGGTACAGATGAAGTCTTAATACGGTTATACCTCGAGAAAGAACCAATGTATCTACAACTTGCTGACGATATCTGTCTCGATGCTGTTTAATTATGGTTATAACCTCCACTTTAACCATGTCCTCAGAAAAGGGAATTACCTTTTGTCGCAACCAACCTTGCATCACCGCTTTTTTAGTGGCCATAGTGGTAGACGTTCCACTAAGCGTTATCAAGCACTATCACTGAATTTGGCTCGATCCGTGAAAGTAGGGTTTCAAACCAACCTTCAAAGTGTTGAGCGTCCATGTCTTCGTGATAATCCCTCGTTTTTTTAGATAAGAAAACTAAAGCACTATAATTTAAAAAACTACTTTCACTACCTATTGGGGTTATGGACAAATAATTTATTTTTAACATACATGTTATTTGTGAACAGGTTGATATTTCTGTGTTTATAAAATAACAGACCTGTTAAAAATAACACAGGTTGTCAATCATAACCCCCTATATGGGCGTCAGTTAGTCGTCCTTTTCCAGTTGGTCCTTGTAATCCTGTTGATAGACCTTCCACAAATGCTTGTCTATAATTTGTTACCGTAGTATCTTGCCAGATCTTAGATACTGTGTGACCAGCATTCACCCATGTTTCATCCAGATAATATATTGTCTTGTTTGCCGAACGATGTTCTCTTATAGAGCGAAAATATTTTCGTCGCCATGTAACTATCTATTCTCTTTCTATTAAAACGTAGTTACGAGATCATCTTGCACCTCGAAACTTTAACTCGTGTACTGTTTTTCTTAATGTATCTCGGCTCATTTGTGGAACAAAATCATTCTCCAATAATTTCCTTCTAACGGATTCCATGGTTGGCGATATGTTAAAAAAAAAGAATGAATAGTTGTGCGTATCAACTATTATTTGGAAATTAGGGTAAATATTCCTGTTTATAACAGATTATGCGGGGTCAGTGCCACACGATAAATATTTAACCCATCAACTACCTGCGAAAGGATTAACTAAAATTCAAATTTATATCATAGTATCAAAAACCAGAAGTGCTTTGGCATGCTTAATTAGACTGGCCTACATATCCGTTATTTAATTACCTTAATAAACATTTATTTTCAAGTTAATAAATATAACGCAATGTCTATCTCAATCAACCGGGCAAATGTTAACACAAAAATGTTATTATACACTACCAACGCTTTAGTTTATCATAAAAATGAAACTACTACAACTAACCATATACCTGTCTCACGATGCGACATTGATTTATTTAATTGAATTAATACCTAACTGGTTTATTAGCCTACCCAGTAGACATTCTTAGTATTGAGTTTATCGTTGATTCAAAGTATTTACTTAACTTGGCTAGATATAATATTTGTCCGTAACCCACGTCAGTAAATATTATGATATATCACTTTTTAAATTTCCGCGTTGACGAAGCATAAACAATAAAATGATCCCGGTAAGTTGAGCTCTGAAAATCATAATAGAATTACATTGTTGCCGGTTGACCACAGTACAATCCGCAACATGAGTCACTATCATTTAAAATTTTTTCGAGTATAGGAAGGACATCGATAAATAATGTTGCTTCTATATCTAGAAAGTCATCCAGAACCATATATTTGAAGAAATGGCTTATTTTACCTATTAGATTGTTCAGGGCCAAATATGTTAATTTATCAGTTTGCTATCAGGTGTTGCTAATTACAATTTTGCTGAAATATAGGTTAGTAATTTCTCGATTTAGTAGCAAACCTACGATATGCATATGTTTAGACATGATTAGACATGTTTAGACTAAATAGCGCAAATTTTATCGCTTAGAATTGTATGTTATTGTATTACTATTTCGCTGCGAATTTTCCATCGCGGATTCGCAGCGAATATTCACGTTGGTCTAGGGGAAAAATGTTCTTCATTTAATGATAAATTTTATTTCTTTTGAGAATAACGTAATATGGTCTAAGATCCGAAGTAAGGTCGACCTTCACCCATCTGTTTAACGGATAAAAGTTTCTTTTTTTTTTAATAAAATATGTTTATAAATATACCGCAAATGAGTTGCCTAAGAAAACACGGTCAATGACTATTTATGTTCATAAAGTAAGTAAAACAACCCTGTAAAGTATTCTCCAGATGCTTCGACTGTTCCCAAACTTTAATCAACTCACCGCAGGATGGATTAAAGCTTAAGATTAAAATTTGGAGTTTTTCCTCAAATATCTCGAATTATGTCCATTTTAGGGAAATCATGTATAAGAACAAAATTATAAACATCACAAGCAACTTTTATCATGATTCCTATACTTTCCTTATCTGTATACAGAAAGGAAAGTAAAAAATGGCCGTGACCGTATTTTCTTAGGCAACCCATTTGCGGTATATTTATAAACACTTTTTATTTAATAAAAAAAAAATTCATCCATTAAACAGATGGGTGAAGGTCTAACTTACTTACGGATCCTGTACTATTACTACGTTTTGCAACTTAAAATGAAATAAGTGTGACTGGGTGAGTGTGTTTGTGGCCTTACTTCCTTATTTTAAATAATTATGGGAACTGCGAATTGTGCTTTTTAAAATAGGGAATGAATTTATAGTTTCTACAATTAAGTTTAGGAATTTACATTTGAAGAACAAAACCTCTTAAATTGTTTGAAAATCTGAATCTATTGAGCGGCTATTAGCATTTTTATTTTCTATGTTAAAGGTATAATGGAAGCCGACGTCCCTATTACGGCGGATATGGACGCTGTTATTCATGCTACAGGACAGGTCATTGGGCAAACAGCTGTCCCTACAGATAAAAATCACTTCACTTCAGATGCTGTAATATTAGAAATAATTCTGTTTGTTTATAAGAAAAATTTTTATATATTTATAAATTACATTTCTACGTTGGCGATCTCTTACTTTTTACTAAACCCTTTATATACATTTACAATTCTATTTTTGTTCTGTTCGAGTACACATCACATAACTTTTACAAGCCAGATACACGGTTCGTAGACAACACGGTGGCCTCATCACGGTTGCTAAGGAGGCAGAGTGACGTCACGGAATGAAAAAGTGAGTTAACAGAAAATATTCTGCTGCGGGTCGTACATTAGTTTTTTAAAAATCTAATATTTTATTGTTATTTAGTGGTGTTTATATTTATACTTTTGAACTTTGTTCTAGAGTTTTTATAATATCGATAGGTTGATTTTTTGAAAGACCAGCTACGAAACGGCAAGGAAACATTATGTAATGATTTTCATCAAATTTCAAATGAATTACTTTTTATCTGAAATATAAAGATAAATATTTTACACAAAAATCGTTAGAAGAAATAAAGGAACATTCTAAACTAAACTGAAATTAAAGGCTAATAGTAAGATTTAAGATGTATATTAAAAAAGTTTCACTGGGTCCCTACTATATAGAACCGATGACAGTTGTTTAAAGTATAGTCTTCATAGTTTAAAGTATTGATGACGTGGGGTAATCGTCGTAGCCACGATACACATACTAACGGTATGCTGACTTATGCGATTCAAATTTCGTCCAAACCGCGCAGAGACGTAATGCGGGACGAGGTTTCAAGTTATTTTGACACTTTTCGATTAAATATTGTAATAATTTGTTTTTGTGTTAGTAGTAACTATATTTTCCTGTATACATATAACAGAGAAGAACTAAATTAATATTTAAATGCCGGGGTGGCGACTTGCAAAAATCATAATACGAAATCCAAATATAGTGTAATGTAAAATATTTCCAAATGCCAAAAATGTGGGTAAATTCTTATCGAAGAGAGGACAAACTTAATTTAAACAATGGTTAGTAAAATGCACAAGCATAATAGCTTTAGAGACAGTGAAAAGTTGCTAAAATAAAAAATATATATATATTTTTTTTAACATGAAGTTGCCCTATCCACTTTGAGGAAAGTAGCTGTGAGATTTCTCTTAATAGACACCAAAAAAGGAAACTGAATTCCACCAGGTGCATGGGGCCTCATTAAACAAAGAAAATAAATAGGTATTTTAAAATTTTAGCAGATAAAACTAGTTTCATGTCCCAGTACAACGGTCCCTTTTGAAGTAAATACTATGCATGAGCAGGACACGAATATAATATATAAGAATAAGATACATGAACAGAAAAATTGGTTTTGACTATTTTCAAAGTAAACTTGACAAAACAATGTTTAAATGTACCAAATAAAAAGTAATTTTTTTGTGTACTTACTTTTTATAAATAAATAATTTGCTTCTGCACACTATTTTTATTTCAGAAAGGTGGATGGATGGATGTACGATTCCCGTAGGACCGGTTTTTGCTTTTCACAGTGCAAGGGGATCAGACATGATTTTTTGCATAGTGGTAGTGAAACATGAAAATTTGAAATACTGCTACTGAGCATAAATAAATAATGACGAGTTTAGGGGATTTTTGATTTTCACATTTTAACGGGGGGAGAACGGTGTTGAAAGTTTGCATGGAAGTATCGATTTTTTTATAGGTAGTAACTTGAAAATTGGAATTAAAACTACTCATCGCAAATAAATAATGGTGTGTTTCAGGTTTTTCGATTTTCATATTTTAGGAGGGTAAATGGATGTAAGAGGTGAAATGGGGGAAAGAAGGAAACTGGGGGTAATTGGAGAAATGGGGGAAAGGTGTGGGAGGCGAAAGTTTGTATGGTAGGAACTCGAATATTGGAATTGTGGTACTCATAAATAAATAGACATGTTTCAAGATATTTGGATTTTTACGTATTAAGGGGGGAAACGGAAGGTGAAAGTTTGAATAAGACTTTCGGTTTTTTAATGGTAGAAACTTGAAAATTGGAATTAAAGCTACTCATCACAAATAATAAATAATGGTGTATTTCAGGTTTCTAGATTTTCATATTATAAGAGGGAAAATGGTAGGAACTTGACAATTGGAATTGTAGGTACTCATCATAAATAAATAGACACGTTTCAAGATTAAGGGGGAAATGGAAGGTGAAAGTTTAAATAAGACTTTCGGGTTTTTAATGGAAGGAACTTGAAAATTGGAATTGTAGCTACTCATCATAAGTGAATATTGACGTATTTCAAGGTTTTTGAATTTTCACATTTTAAGGAGGGGGGAGTATCGTAAAAATAAATAAATGCAAATAAATAAAATTAATAAAAATACAAACTATTAAAAATTAATAAAAATTATTAAAATTAATAGAAAATATTAAAAATAAATTAAATTTAACAAAACGTATTAAGAATTAATAAAATTATTAAAAAATATTAAATAAAAATAAATATTAATAAAAATTATTAAAAATTAATAAAAATAAAAAAGTTAATAAAAAAAAAATAAGTTAATAAAAATCAAAAATATTAATAAAAACTAATAAAAATTAATAAAAGAATTTGCTGGGTATCGCACGAAAAAATGTCTCTCGTGTAACGAACTGTTATTCACTTTTGATAATTGAGGTTTGAGACATTCCAGCGAAGCGGGATCGGGTCAGCTAGTTAATTGAATAAATTCACTTAGAGTTCAAATTATTGTAAGAGATCTTATTGATTTTATTTCAAATAAAAAAATAGCTGACAATATTTTGAAGGGATTTGGCGCATCGATGGAACTTTCGACACTGAAAACTGCTATTCGCGATTCAAATTAATTTTCGCGCACTTGTCACGTATAAGAAGGATGTTTGTTTATTTACGTGTTGTGGGATTTTGTATTTGTGATTTTTTTAACTGTTTTTAGATAATTCTTATTATAATAGTGTTTTTGAGTTTCATTTAGTGTTAATTTAAGTTTAGTTTTCGTGCTTTCGTTATAAATGTAATATTTTTCATGTGTAGTATGCAGTATTGTTGGAAATATTGACCTATTGGTTGCTACAAGAACATCTAGAAATATGTATTTACTAAACCCAGGACATGTTTTATTATTATGTGGTTTAAAGGACATATCAGGTACCAAACGTTTATTATTGATGAACTTCTTTAAAAATCTTACTATCCTTATTCTTATATCATGAAGTGAATTGTGTAGTACTTTGTATACATGTAAATGGCACAGTTTATAGCTTAAAAGAATCAGTTCGCTCACTCGGACCAATTCGATGTTCCAAAATAATATCCACTCGGGGGGGTTTTCTCGAATCTCGATTTACCGGTGTCGCATACGAGAAAGCTGAAATGTCGCAAGAAATCAAAGGAAAGGTGAAATTGGCTTTCTGGAATGTCGAAATAGACATTATTTATGCGAGAAAATCACGCGAACCCTTCATTACGTGAGATTTGCATATTTATGATCGACAAAAAATAAAAAATGGCGGAAGACGAAATAGAATTTTTAAACGTAATTGGAAATCAAGAATTTTTAGAGAATTTAGCAGCACCAAGAAAGTCATATAGATATATAAATTGTTTCGATTTGCCGGATAACCAGTTTAAAAAAATTTTCGTTTAACAAAGGTATTAGCAAGAACATTAATTGATGTAGTAAGACCTTTCATCCAAGATAGAAGTCGGGCTTCGGCACTGCCAATAGAGGCCATAGTAAGTACATAAATGATTCTAGGTAGCTGCTGTGGTTATAATAAGGAAAAGATAAAACATACTTTTTGATTTGATAACATATAGCATCGAAGTACATCCCAACGGGTTCGATTTACATACGTCCAGATTTACTCTGGACATGTTTGGGTTTTTAAGGTGCCCGGGGCATTCCGACCGGAATTTGAAAGTGTTCGGGAAACAACAAAGTTGGTTGAATAAATAAATGTATGACATTCTATATCTATGTGTATTACGTATGTTTCGGTAAAGTCCGGATTTCAGGGCTCGCTTGTCCTGAATTTCAAAAAACCTTTATGGAAATCTTACCAAGGGGGTGTGCTTATTCATGCTGTTCTTCATTAACAGGATATAAATATTCTTTTTATTGCATTTATTTATTGTTGAATTCATTGAAATTTCAGGTTTTTTGTATGTTTTACATTTTAGGTTTTCATGGCATTAAATTTTTTTGCCACAGGAAGTTATCAGCGTTCTGTTGGGATGAATTATAAAATTCAAACTAGTCCTTCTTCAGTAAGTAACAGTTTGTTATCCGACGCGTGTTCATTTGTTTTTTTTTTTTAATTTTTTAAACTATGATAAAAACCGGGGCATTCTTGTACCCCTAGATTTTGCCGTGAGTAACCTTTCGAGTTTGGATTGGCGAGGCGACACAGACCTCCGGCCGTTTTACGCTGACCGAAATGTCTGTGTTTATTTCATTTTTTTTTGGTATTGTAATATAGGGGGACTTAATAATACCTTAATTATAACCCGAACGAACTGTGATTAAAGATATTACCATTTGGGATGTTTTACTTTTTTATTCCCCGTGTCGTCCCGATTCTGAAATTGTTTTATTTTTTTTGTAAATATATATGCTTTTGTTTTAATTACCTAGATTTTCTTTTTCGACTACACTGAGTCTACTTTGGGTGTACGTTAGGTGCACTCCAGGGTCGCAGAATTTACTGCGTGAACAAAACTGGCGCCCGGGCAACCCTTTTTCGATGAACAGCCTGGCGCCAACTCGGCCTTTTTCTTTATTTATAGTGATAAAGAAAAAGACTTCTCACAAATTATATTCTAAGCTAGTTTTTATACATTTTCAATATAAAAGTGTATGTATGTGCCAAGCATACAAGTAGGTACACAAGTTATTATTTTCAGATTTTTTGACAAGTATGGTATGCCCGGCGTGATTGGTTGTGTAGATGGAACACATGTAGCCATAGTTCCCCCAAAAAATCAAGAACATATATACGTTAATAGAAAAAATTATCATTCGATTAACACTCAGTTGGTAAGTACCTTAGATTAGCCTGTTGTTTATTATTTTTTGAATTTTCACTATAGA